TTACCTGCCGCTCAGGTAGAAAACCAGCGGAGGACGCTGCGCACGTATAAAACCAGCGAAGCTGACTCAGAGCCGCTGCGATTCGTGGAAACGAATATGTACCTTCGTTCCCCATGATTTCCTGCCCAGTCTCCCAGTGTGTTCACGCTTTGACCAGCCACTTTGAATAGCAATAATAATTGAACGCAAGCAATATTTATCGCAATCGCATCCTGCCGTGTGTCTGCTCGTGAACGATGCGACTTTAGAGAATTAACGCATTGACGTATTAACACGTATTATGACGTATTATTAACATTGTGAACAGCATTTTTCATATATATATATATGTTTTGATCAATTTCGTTGTCAGTACGCATAGGATGTTCATGATGAATTTGTTGATGAAACACTTACAGCACGTGAGACCAAACAGACATGTTTCATGAGTGAATATAAAGATATCCAAATTTGTATGAAGAAAAAAAAAAAGATTATGAACTAGGAGAACTATACAAACTCTTTCTCTAAGTACGGTCTGGAATGTCTAAACATTCTCTAGCAAAGAAATTAGAGTGCAAGAAAAAGTTAATAATACGATGAAGAGCACACAAGCTTCTATCAATATAGCTTATTAAATATTATTAATAAAAATCACTCGAGTATCTAAAGACATGCTGTTATAAATACATGAAATTTCGATAGGAAATTATAGATCGGTCATCTGGACCACTTTAATAGTTCTAGCGTTAAATAATTTGTAATTTTTCTTCGAAAGAGTATTCTTCAAAAGAAGAATAGCTAAAACTTTCACACGTTGGCAGAGTTTAATTTTCGATGAAAAATCAATTTGACTATAAAATAGCTGAAGTCGAGTTCAATTCAACCATACAGTTCGAAACAGGAAACCGTTATTTATGAAGTGTTCACCTCGACAGATGGACTCCCCGGAACGCGAGATCTACCGTGATCCAGATGTAGTGAGAGCGGACGACAGGGTGAACGAAGTGGTTCACACGGATACCGCCAGGAAGATGTTGTCGATCTTCCGGCAAATGGAAGAGAACGCCTGCAAGAAAGAGCTTCCAAATGGACCCAAGCCGTTGAAACGTTTCACACCGCCACCGGAGGACAAATACGCGAAGCCGACAGCTTCGGACTCGGAGGAGAACGAGGACGAGGACGGTGAGGATTCCGAGGGCGAAGACAGCGCCGAGGAAAGGGATCCAAACTACGTACGAGCTTCCGATAAGGTTCGTATACGTGTCGTTTGTACTCGTGAAAAAATGGTGGCGTTTGTTAACATCGGAATCGAGACCTCGAGATTACTGGGTTGTGAATATGTATGAGCAATCGGTGGGAAGCTGATATGCAGATCTTCACCGACAGAAATCGGTCGTGAAAACTTTTCCCATTTTTTGGGAAATATCGATCGAGAATTTTAATATGTGTATTAACAAGCTTCTTTTTTTTATCATCTGCCAGCGAAATGCTATGCCATTTTGCGAAGCATCGCTTCGAATAAAATGGCATAGCATTGGAAATAATCATTCGAATGGTTTGGTGATTGGACATCTTGCGGGTTTGCTAGAACAAGTATAATATACAATATTTCCCATCATTTTTTAAACTTACGTAAGAAGCAATAGGAGAAGTTTATGCGAATTATTCCGAATTACTTACTGAAATTCATTTGTTTTTCTTACGTCGTTATAGCTTTCACTCTAGGCGTCTGTTCAGATAATTATCAGCAAATTATAAAAAGAGGAAATCCGAGCTGTTGGCTAGATTTAAGTACAATGTCCCCTCAGAAAAGACAGTCGAGTGCAAATGATTAGAATGAGAAGAACTTTCCTGATCCTTTCTTGGAATTTTTCCACAGACATTTCGCAGCTCGTGATATACAGCTAGGCTGTTAAATTAATAATACAAGATTGAACCTTCTAAATACATAAACCTAGCCGATAAAAGTTTCGTCGAGCTGAAAGATTGAGAAGGAACAGAAGCAACAGCAGTTCGATCATAGAAACGAGGAATAATCGTGTATTTCAGGTAGAGGACGAGTTTCTCAAGCAGGCGCAGAACGCAGCCCGCGCGAAGACCCTGTGCGCGAAATTCGAGCACTGGGAGGAAACGGACGGGAAAACGACGTCGAGTAATCAACATATCGCGGAGATGGAAATCGCTCAAAGCACCGCCGGTGAACAGCTGAGCATAGAATCGGCGAGCAGTCTCAGAGCCCGTTTCGAATCGCTCGGCTCGCAAACGAACGAGTCGCCGCGCACACCGAAGGTCAAAGTCAATCGATTCGTGGTGAGTACTCTTTCGTAGGAACTACTACTTCGTTCATCCTCCATTCATCCTCATCCGAGCGGCTCATTGATCGACACTTGAATGAGAGCCCTTGCAATTTTTCCTCATTTTTTTTTTTTT